TCAGGCCTATAATTTGTTTTGTGATTCCAAAAATATGTTATTGAATTCTTTTTTGTGAATTGGAAAAATCTCCCAAATTCCCAATTTGATATTTTCACGAATTTAAAACATGTTTTTTGTTTAAAAAATGATCAACTTTGAATGATGTTCCTGAATTTTAAAAATGTTAATGAAGTGACAAAATGTCTATGAATTTGAAAATATTCGTGCCTACAAAAAATTCTCATAAACTGAAAAATGTTTATGAGTTTTCATACCTGTACGCAAAATTGAAAAAAACAATAGAATTCAAAAGGTTTTCACGAAATCAAAAAAAATCTTGCACTGAAAATTGGTTCATAAATATAAAAAAAAAACAATTCACACATTCAAAAAATGTCCCAGTTAGAAATTGCTGGTCAATAAAAAGAAGTTAGTGAATGCAAAAAATGCTCATGACATTTAAAAAATGTTCTTCAGTCTGAAATGGTTCACAAATTTGAAATGTCTCTTTGAATTTGAAATAATGTTTGTAATTACAATTTGTTTACAAATTCAGAAAATGTTCACAGATTGAAAAATTGTTCATCATTGAAAATAGATTCAGAAATTCAGAAATTGCGCACAGATTGAAAATTTATTCGTTATTGAAAATAGATTCTCAAACTCAGAAAATGTTCACAGATTTAATTTTTTTATCAATTTAAAATATGTTTCCGAATTGGAAAATTGATCACAAATTTCAGCAAAGTTCATAAAATGATAAATGATCATGATTTCGAATAATATTTATTAATTGTAAAAAAAACATGGATTAAAACAGTTGATGAATTAGACAATCATCACTAATACAATAAATGTTTAGAAATGTAAAAAATTATTCAGGAATTCAGAAAATTATCACAAACTCAATTTTTTTGGCAAATTTGGATTCACGAATTTGAAGGAATAATCATGAATTCAAAAAAGTGAGAAAGAACAAAAAAGGTTAAAGGAAAAAGAAAGGGAAATAAAAAAAACTAAATGAAAAATAAACCAGGAAACCATAAAAGCAACAAAGCAACAAAGAAAAAGGAAAATAGGCTGGAGGGTTCCCAAATCTGGATGGATGCCTCCAAAACTGATGCAAAACCATGTGTCTAACAGCGTAGCAATGGCGATGATACATATCGGAAAATTGCCGATACACATCATTCACCCCAAACCCTATTTGGCGACTTCAGCGTCGGATAAAGGTTATTTCCCCAACCGGCGCACCCCCTCCTCGCTGGGTTGGCCCATTTACATTTTTTATTTTTTGTTCAACTTCAAAAAAGGATGCGGGCGACGGGATTCGATTTCAAGACCTAGGTGGCTAGGATATCTTAACACTTACGCCTATTTACTTTCCTATTCTTTTCTTCTTTCTTCAGTTCGCAGAAGCCCTCGGTTTTGCCAAGTTTCCATTAGCGTCTCAAACCGTTTTTGGTTGTTCGCTGGTCAGTTTTTGGACCACTTTTACGTTAAAAATCAAAGAAAGTTTTAATTCATGATTTTTTTTTCAATATCAATGAACTTAAATCCATAGAGCATTTTCCAAATTCCTGAATTTTTTCAAAATTGATGAACTTTGAAAAAAAGTGTGTTTGATGAAACTTTTTATAGTTTGTGAACTTTTTTTCAAAATCGATCAACTTTTTTGAAATCTACAAAAAAATTCAAACTTCATGCACTTTTTTTCAGAAATCAATCTTATTTTTAAAAATTCATGCAAAAAATTTCTCAAAATTCATGAACCAATGGACTTTTTTTAATCCATCACTTTTTAGAAAAAATCAATGAACTTTTTCCAAATTCGCAATTTTTTTGCAATATTCGTGAAATTTTAAAAATATCAATGAACTTGTTTTCAAATCATTGAAAAAAATTCAAAGCCGTGTTTTGTAACTATTTTTAAATTTGTTTTTAACCATGAATTTTTTTTAATTCATGGATTTTTATTTTTTTGCATGTTTTAAGAGTCAATGGGCAGAGTGGTCAACCGTGACCGCTGAATACCAAACTAGGCGTTGTTTTCGGCCGGCCCACGAAGGCGTTGACGAGGAGCCCTCATCATTCTTGGTTTGGGAAAGACAGCGCCTCTTCAACGCTTTACGCGCCTACAATTGCTTTCGCACATGAGATGCTAGATTGGACACGGCCCAGTAGCATCTGACTCTCTCACCGCGCTTGCTCGGTCTCCCGCCTCACTGCGATCGCTAGGTGGCTGCCCCATTTGTTTGGCCGCTTGGTGCCTCCACTCACTAGCAGAGCTTGACGAAGATTGTTGAGGGGGCTAATCAAACTTGAGGGGCCACCATTAGCCCCGATGAAGCTCCGCCACTACTTCCACTAATTTAGAAAGAGAAACATGTTTTTCATTTTTATATCTAAATAAATTTGCACATTAAATGCATAAGCGCACATTTGAAAAACGTCCATGATTTTGTTTTAAAGTTCATAAATTAAAAAAAGGATCACAGACTAGAAAAAAAATGGTTGTACATTTGAGTTTTTCTACAAATTTCTAATAATGTTAGTGGTTCTGAAAATTGGTGATGAGTTTGAATAATATATTCACAGATTTTAACAAACTCATGAAATTTAAAAGTTCATGAGTTGGAAAAATAGATGACATATTTGAGAAAAATGTTAGTAGAATTCAAAAAAACTATAGAATTTGAAAAAAGTGCATGCTAATTTTTGAAAAGTGCATGATGTTTGAATTTCCTTTAAATGAAACAAGAAAAAAATGAAAGAAAAAACAAAATAAGAAAAGCAAAGAAAACACAAAATAAGAAAAGCAAAGAAAACTAAGGTAGAAACACAACGAAGCCAAAAGGGAAAAATGATCATAAACTTGACAAAGCCTCTTTACAAAACATCTGAAAGAAGTTGTAGATATAATTATGGGTCATCTCATGAGACTCAAGGCGCCGCTGTCTCCCGTACCCTACTATTCCTCGTCAGAGCTTAGAACCCTGACGGCGCCGGTGGACGTCAGGTCGCTAATGGATCCGTCTTGGACAAGCCAACGACATCCACCAGGACACTGTTGTGTTGCCCGAACTGGTGATCCATCCGGGGCGCCGGAGAATGCGACTCCACCTCGCCAACGTCCACCGCCGCGAGGGCTGCCGCTGCCTCCCTCGCTCGGTGCCTCGCACGGAGGGCACGACACGTCATGTTTGTGTGCGACAACGCCCATGGTGCGTCCTTCGCCTTGGCGTGCCACGCGTCCGCCACCGCGTTTGGACGCCAGACGGACAACACCGCCTCTAGTGAGGCTGCGATGGCACACCTAGCAGCAGATCCATGCACCATTTAGGAGGACGTGGTGGATTCCCGACAGAAGGAGTCTGAGCGCTGCCGTTGGACGTCCTCCTCCTGGGAGCGGCGGAGTGCAAGCCGGATGGTCATCTCCTTCTCGGGGCTGCCTGGGATGAGTTCAAGGTCGACGAATCTAGAGGTGTAGGACTCGAATCCGCTACCAGCCTTACCGGAAAAGGCCGAAGATCGCCAGAGGGGAGCTTGGGTGGAGGAGTGGAGTGGAGTGCCTAGGGTTTGGTCCGGGGTAGGGATGTGAATGAATATATGTGGGCCCGGGTGGGCTAACGTGGGTCGGGTCCGATGTGGCGGACATGTCCGGTCCTTCCCATATCCGCCTCATATTTGGGCTGGATATGAGGGGTGTCGGTTAGCCCGGGCCTTTGCGGCGTCCGTCTGGGTCGGGTTTTTTTACCGGTCACTGACCGAGCCGTCTGCCCGGCCGTATGAGGGGGTTTGAGGCGTCCGACTGTAGATGCTCTCATGTACTCCTAGACCATTGTTTGAATGGAGGTCATTGGCAACACACATCAATTTGGCTTTTGTGTGGTATGCTGCTTGGCGGAAGATTGATTTTGGTTATTTGGTGAAAATTACTAATTTATAAAAGTAACAATAGAAGCGGACATTTTGGGCACAGTGTTGGATGTCCGGTTCCTGTATCTGGATCCATGGATAAGTCTGGATTAGTCCACAGACAAATATTGTGTAAACTTTAAGGGTCCGCCGTTGACATGCTTAGTCTTAACCAAGGCACATCCAGACCTTCATGTAAACCGTACCACACCACGCCAGCTCGAACGGCACTGGGGACCATACACGAGGAAATTAAACCAGAGCTTCCAGGAACCTCGATGAGCACACCGCCAGGACACACCCCTGTCCACGGTTTGGCAGACGACAAACGTGCCCTAGATGCCGAGCATTTTTCTCAAACGTCTGATGTGCATGCTCGATCTGCTCATTCTCAACACCCCAAGGTGTGACATGTCAGGAGGACATCCTGATGGAACTGTCGCACCGAGATCCTTCGAATGGTGGCACATGCGCAAGAATGTGCTCCTCAGTGCCGCGAAACAATCGGCCGGAGACAGAGTGTTCAAGTACATGAGCAGGCACGCATGACGCCTTGACCACTATGCCTCATCTAAGTTGGGTCGGTACACATGCATGGTTGGTGTTTTAGGCATTGGGAATAAGAAGAATGATGAAAAAGAGATGAAGCAAAATGGGCTAGAAAAAGGAAACATATTAGTTCCCATCTAGTTTTAGAAGCTTGATTGAGTAAGATTTGGCGAGGGCGACAAATATAGGGTTAAGTTGCTTGATGTCTGCAACAAATTGACACTCTATGTGATGGATTAACTGCTATTGTTAGTAATAAACTGGAATCAACTACGGATCGTACCTTTATTTTCGTAACATGAGTTTAACCATGAAAATATAGGATGATATGATCCTCAAAAAACACTAAAGTAAACATAATTCCAAATATCTTTGCGGCACATTGCAAACAACATAGATAACAATCTCCTCCCACTTTTATTAGCAAAATAGCTTACACATAATATTTCTGGAAACTAGTCGCACAAATTGCATATAAGAAACAAAACAACCAATTTGAAGCACATTTTATTGGCCCTAGCTTATAGCTCGGAGGAGAGTGAGACAACATATCAAGGAGTGGTGGAGGATGCAGTTCCATTGGAAATCATGCCGCCGAACCCACAACAATAGATGTCCCTAGGGCAGCAAACAGGATTGTATCCCATAAGCCTGCCGGCTGCCTGCGCTACCGGTGCTGCCATCATCATCAGTAAGCAAACTTGCGCGATGAGAAAAACAACGAAGACCTGAAGGATGCTATTATTTGCCATCGCCTAAGTTCACAAAGAGCAATATAAAGCACTATGCAATACTCTTGTAACTGGTATGTTTGTGTTTGGTCCTACCAAATACTCGATTTATATACATACATGGCATGAAGCCCGTGCTTATCCTAATAAATTCCATTAAAACAGAATATCTGAACATTGAGGATATCATTGGTAGTAAAGAGAATAGGAAAGATAATATATTATTTGGATAATAAATGGCTCCTAAAAATATATGAAATTTATCGGGAGGATGAACCTAGACACGTTCACTACTACATCTAGTAACACAAAAACAAATCTATAAGATATGATAATTAATGGGAAGAATCAACCAGGAAGATACTCTCCTATTTTGGGATTAACCTTGGATAGAAAAATGTACAAGATAAATCAACCATTGGTCACCGTATCATGTAGATATATGACATGATGCATAGGGATGCCAACTTTTGGATCTTGGAAATTTCAAAAAAAAAAACCTTTTGGATCTTGGCAGGACAGAGAGATGTGCATTGAGATCTAGAGTTTTGTTCGACAAATGATGAATTTTATTGGCTCAAAATGGAGCTTCAATAAGATACATAGCATAATAAGCGCAAGCGCAAGCGCAAGCGCGCACACACACCTGTATAGCTAGAATGCACACAACCAAAACCAAATCACACACACGCCGACAACTAGCAAAGTCATATAAGACCAAAGTTATGTGTAGGCGAGAAAAAAAACAAAGTGATTAGATATGCGATCGGCAAACTACAAGAATGACCATATCTGCACCAACTATCTCATGACACCACATGGACGAAGAGGTTCTTAAACAGCAACACCTTCAGGAAAGGAGCAACACTCAAGCGCCACCGTCACCAGATCAAACCATAAGGTCGGAATCTAGGCTTTCATCGTGAAGAAATCAGTCTGGACATATCCGAACAATGTCTTCAACAAGATAACAACATAAGAAACATCGCAATTGCCAGGTACGACCATTCGGGTCTAACCTAATCTTCAGCCCCGGAGCTCGAGACCGGCCGCTCGAGACTGAGATCTAAAGTTAATATAGAAAAATACATTAAAGATACATAAATTGTATTCAGGTCCTGTATATAATATGTAGGGGGGCTGGTCCTCTTATCCATCATCCTACAATCCCACACATGACTGCCTGGTTCAAAGTGCATTTCTACATATTATATTATGCATTGTATAGTCCGATAAAATTAGCCAACTAGGTCTATCTTGTAACTTTGGAATTTGAAGCTAGCATCGACATGTCACATGCATAGGCACGGGTTGACGATTTGCTTTGTCAGATGTGAGTGTATTGTTTAATAACCCTGTCAAAATATTATCCAACTTGGTTGCATATATACAAACACACTACATGTCTCCTACAACTGTGAAATTTATACTCATATTAGCAATGTCAGAGTTGCAATTTTTATTTCATAAATGTACTAATATATGACATTCTTAACATTTGTGGTAACGGAAAAAGAAGCTTCAGAGATAGTCATAATATTGGTCCGTTTAAGACTAGTTTTGTTTGGACTAATATATACTTATTGGTGCGATACACACACTCAAATTCATTTATTTATATATAGAGATGAACATACTCAAATTCAATTATGATTGATAGAGAGATGACTATGGACAAAAAATCTGCCATATGGGAGACATCACACATCTAGTCCCTCTTTCACCCCATAAAAGCCCATCACCACGCCCATTGTGTGAGAGATGACTCTGCGTTGGTTAGAGTTTATCCGTTTTCCTATGTGATTCACACGTATGGAAAGTCTAGAGCCAAAATCTAACATTGAAACCAAAACAAGTGGACCAATCAAAATGTTGGATTTCTAATAACTTTATATAGAGTTAAAATTTTGTTGACACACACGCCCAAGACTCTTCTCCAAGAAGCCATGTTATTTTCTTTCTAGGTTTTCATGAAGCTCAAGCACCCTTCCATGGCCGATTACCTACGAAGATATGTTTGAAATCTATCTCAATTGCGCACATATGAAAATAGTGACCTAAAACGTCTTACTGAACATGGGATCGATCTAGCCCGCATGAAGGATATATTAGTTAGAAATTTTTTTGGCCTTAGACAGATATTGTGACCATGTCTGCAGCTTGTTTTCTCGTTACCACAACTATTACAATATTGGTTTGTCTAAGGCCAGCTTTTGCTAACTATTGTATCCTTACTGTGGGCTAGATCGATCCCATGTATAAGGAGTATAAACATTTATAGAGGGAGCACTTCTCTAATCTGAACATGATGGATTTATATGCAGGAAGACATATAACTTTTACTTTTGTGTTTCACTCATGTATGTATATATATTGCTGGAATTTTGTCTATTTTGGGCCAGCCCGATAGCAGTTTCAGAAATTCCTAATAAATACTAAAGGTCCACGCAGCCCATATGTGCAAGGAAAGAGGTGGAACTATGTAACGCCCTCGATGCGGCTATATCTCCTATGTGTCGAAGCATGACTTAGAGGCATAACCGCATTGAAAGCAATGTCGCAAGTTAGGCAATCTTCACAACATCCCATGTAGTATAAATAATAAAAGGGAAAGGTACATAGTTGGCTTACACTCGCCACGTCAAACAAAGTACATAAATAGCATTACATCATCCAATCACTCATGGCCCGACTACGGTGCCAAAATAAAAGACCAACCCAACATGCGACACGGTCCCGATCGCCCCAACTGGGCACCACTACTGATCATCAGGGAAAGACACATAGTAACGGCGTGAGTCCTCGTCAAACTCCCACTTGAGCTCAAGTGCGTCATCTGGAACGGAGTCATCAGGACCTGCATCTGGTTTGGAAGTAATCTGTGAGCCACAGGGACTCATCAATCTCGCACCCTCGCGATCAAGACTATTTAAGCTTATAGGTAAGGCAAGGTAAAATATGTGGAGCTGCAGCAAGCGACTAGCAAGATATGGTGACTAACCTATTCGCAAATGAGAGCGAGAAGAGAAGGCAATGCACGATCAAGTAGCTAGAGAACAACCTGCGGCAAGCATTACTCCAACACCGTGTTCACTTCCCGGACTCCCCCAAGAAGAGACCATCACGGTAACTCACACAGTTGATTCATTTTAATTAAGTGAAGGTTCAAGTTATCTACAACCGGACATTAACAAATTCTCATCTGCCCATAACCGTGGGCACGACTTTCGAAAGTTCAAATCCCTGCAGGGGAGTCCCAACTTATGTTGGGGATCGTAGTAGAAATTAAAAAATTTCTACGCATCACCAAGATCAATCTATGGAGTATTCTAGCAAGGAGGGGAATAGTAGTGCATCTACATACCCTTTTAGATCGCGAGCGGAAGCATTCCAGTGAATGGGGATGATGGAGTCGTACTCGCCGTGATCCAAATCACCGATGACGAAGTGCCGAACGGACATCACCTCCGCGTTCAACACACGTACGGTTGGGAAGACGTCTCCTCCTTCTTGATCCAGCAAGGGGGAAGGAGAGGTTCATGAAGATCCAGCAGCACGACGGCGTGGTGGTGGATGCAGCAGGATCCCGACAGGGCTTCGCCAAGCACAAGCGGGGAGGAGAGGTGTTACGGAGGAAGAGGGAGGCGCCAAGAGCAAGGTGTGGCTGCCCTCCCTCCCTTCCACTATATATAGGGGCTAGGGGGTGCATGCCCCCTTGGAGATCCCATCTAAAAGGGGGGGCTGGGCGCAACGGCCCCCTTAGGGTTTCCAACCAGGGGGCGCATGCCCCCTCGGGGGGGGGGGGCAATGGCCCCCTAGGGTTTCCAACCCTAGGCTCCTTGGGCCCTTGGGTGGGGCGCACCAGCCCATCAGGGGCTGGTTCCCATGCCACTTCAGCCCATGGGGCCCTCCAGGATAGGTGGCCCCATCCGGTGGACCCCCGGGACCCTTCCGGTGGTCCCGATACAATACCGGTAACCCCTGAAACCTTCCCGCTGGCCGAAACTGGACTTCCTATATATAAATCTTTACCTCCAGACCATTCCGGAACTCCTCGTGACGTCCGGGATCTCATCCGGGACTCCGAACAACTTTCGGGTTACTGCATACTAATATCTCTGCAACCCTAGCATCATCGAACCTTAAGTGTGTAGACCCTACGGGTTCGGGAGACACGCAAACATGATTGAGACGCCTCTCCGGTCAATAACCAACAGCGGGATCTGGATACCCATGTTGGCTCCCACATGCTCCTCGATGATCTCATCGGATGAACCACGATGTCGAGGACTTAATCAATCACGTATACAATTCCCTTTGTCAATCGGTACGTTACTTGTCCGAGACTCGATCGTCGGTATCCCAATACCTTGTTCAGTCTCGTTACCAGCAAGTCACTTTACTCGTACCGTAATGCATGATCCCGCGATCAACCACTTGATCACATTGAGCTCATTATGATGATGCATTATCGAGTGGGCCCAGAGATACCTCTCCGTCATACGGAGTGACAAATCCCAGTCTCGATTCGTGCCAACCCAATAGACACTTTCGGAGATACCTGTAATGTACCTTTATAGTCACCCAGTTATGTTGTGACGTTTGGCACACCCAAGGTACTCCTACGGTATCCGGGAGTTGCACAATCTCATGGTCTAAGGAAATGATACTTGACATTCAAAAAAGCTACAGCAAACAAACTACACGATCTTTGAGCTAAGCTTAGGATTGGGTCTTGTCCATCACATCATTCTCCTAATGATGTGATCCCGTTATCAGTGACATCTAATGTTCACGAATGGAGTTGAAGTGACGCTTGATATGCCTGGTCTTCCTGTGAAACCTGGGCTCCTTGGTAAGGGCAATAGCTCCAGTGTTGTCACAAAAGAGAGTCATCGGCCCCGACGCATTGGGTATGACTCCTAGGTCGGTGATGAACTCCTTCACCCAGATTGCTTCTTGTGCTGCCTCCGAGGCTGCCATGTATTCTGCTTCACATGTAGATCCCGCCACAACGCTTT